ATACAACTTAACAAAAGGAAGACAAAGAACCCAATTAAAAAATGGGCAGAGGAACTAAATAGACACCTCTCCAAACAGGACATACAAATGGCTAAGAGACATATGAAGAAATGCTCAACATCACTATTCATCAGAGAGATGCAAATTAAAACAACAATGAGGTATCACCTCACACCTGTCAGAATGGCTGCCATCAACAAATCATCAAACAAGTGTTGGCGAGGATGTGGAGAAAAGGGGACTCTAGTACACTGCTGGGGGGAATGCAGACTGGTGCAGCCACTATGGAAAACAATATGGTGTTTCCTTAAAAAATTAAAAAACGATGTGCCATTTGACCCAGTGATCCCACTTCTAGGAATATATCCTAAGAAGCCTGAAACACCAATCAGAAAGAATATATGTACCCCTATGTTCATAGCAGCACTATTTACAATAGCTAAGATCTGGAAACAGCCCAAGTGTCCATTAATAGATGAGTGGATGAAAAAGCAGTGGTACATATACACAATGGAGTACTATGCAGCTGTAAGAAAGAAAGCTCTCTTATCCTTTGAGACGACATGGAGGGACCTGGAGAATATTATGCTAAGCGGAATAAGCCAATCAGAGAAAGACACATACCACATGATCTCACTTATTCATGGAATATAATGAACAAAATAAGCTGATGAACAAAATAAACCCAGAGACATAGAAAGGAGTATGGTTCAGACTGACAACCCTCAGAGGAGGGGGGCAGGGGGAAGGGATGAGATAAACCAAAGAACTTATATGAATGTGTGCATAACCAATGGACACAGACAAGAATGCTGGGAGGAGTGGGGAGGAGAAACATCTGTAACAAAAATAAAATAAAATAAATATTTTCAGTGTTCAATTAAAAAAAAAAAAGGACAAAGATACTCCTCTCTGGCCCCAGGAGGCATTCAGAATTTCCAGTGTAAATGAGGTTTTTAGTATGGCGATCAAACACGAATGTGGATTAAGAGACAGGAAGTTGCTGGACTAGCTGATCTCAAATGTTAGTCCAGCTCAAACTCTGGGCTACTGGGTGGCCTCTTCCAATCGGAGGCACTGCCAACTCCTTCCTGAAGGGAGAAGTACTGTGTGGAGGCTGGTCAGCCTCTGCCCTTCTCAGACCAGGCATCCCCTCTTCCCGAGACGGAGGGAAGCTGAGGGAGCAGAGCGGAGAGGGCCCAGCGAGTCATGTCCCTGACAACCTCCTCGGGGTGCCCGAGAAGAACGCCCTCTGGAGGGCTGCCAGCCAAGGAGGCCCAAGCCCTGCCTCGGGAGCAAGGCTGCCCTGGCATCTGCACCCAGGGGTTCCTGACTTGGCGTCGGACTCCCGGCCAGGCCCAAGGAGACACCAGGTGGGAGCCCCTTGAACGTGTGCTCCGGCTGTGTCGGGGCCCGGAGAAGGCACAGGGGGAGCTGGAAATATTTTCAAATGTTAACTTTAAAAAAAAATTTTTCCTTTATTTTGTTTTTCCCTTTCCTTTTCTGTCCATTCAGAAGGAAATTAACCTATCAGTTGCCCCTGAACAATGCAGGGATCAGGGGGCCAATCCCCGCCATGCAGTCAAAAATCCACATATAACTTCTGACTCCCCAAAAGTTAACTAACTAATAATAGCCCACTGTTGCCCAGAGGACTTACTGAATTTATAGTCGATTAACATATATTTTGTATGTTATATGTATTACAGACTGTATTCTTACAATAAAGGAAGCTGGAGAAAAGAAAATGTTATTAGGATCGTAAGGAAAACATTCTTACAGTACTGTACACATTCACTGAAAAAAATCTGCGTGTAGTGGACCCAAGAAGTTCAACGCCCCGTTGTTCAAGGATCAACTGCATTTTATTGCCTTGGGGTGACGTGGCCGGGAGGAAATAGAACTTGCCTGCGCACTGTTTGGGGCTCTGCGTCTCAAAAGCCTGGGCCCTTAGGAGATTTTAGAGGATAAGAAGCGGCAGAATGGCTGGGGAAAACAGTTTGCAGGGCCCAGTATAAATAAAAATACAGCCACCCTTGTTCAAATAGCATTAAGAATTTTACCAAGAGCAAAGCAATACAGCATTAGGGGGCCCCTCTGAGCGTGGGCAGTGTGCACGCGCAGGTTCATGCCCACGAAGCGGGCCCTGCACAGGGAGTTCCCAGTGTTAGGACAGAAGACTGCCCTGGAGCTGGGGGCCGGGAGGGAGACACCCATAGGATCTGGAGCAGTGAGGACCTGGGGCCCACTCCCTGGCAACACTGGTGGGGTTCAAGCAAGATCTCAGGAATAAAGGTCTGGGAGATGCCTAGCCTGTAAGCAGGGGTTGCCAGGCCTAGCAGATTGTGGGCCCCAAAGTGGCCCAGCAGCAGCAGAGAGCACACACCCGAAGGGACGTGCAGGCTGGAAAGGCCTGGCTCTGTCTACAGATGCCGAGGAGCCAGCGCCCCCAGCATGCCTTGGTACTTGGTAAGACCCCAAGACCCTGGAACCGAATGTCAGGGCAAGGCGGAGGTATGATCAATGACTGACATCAGTTTTCAGTCATCCTGGAAGGATGAAGGCTTGAGGTCAGAGACTGACTCTCTTTTCAATTCATAAAAATGAAAGAAATGCACTATTTCTGGCACACTTGGATTTGAGGAACAAAATGATCTCTGCCACTACTGAGGTCCGGCTCCAGGCTGGTACCTGGGGCCACGCCTCCGGGGGCATCAGGTAGAGGCCACTGCAGTGATCCAGGTGAGAGATGAAGCTTGGGCCAGAGTGGTCCAGTGGGAGGGATGGATAGAGTAGGAAGTAGAGAAAGTAGCATGAACCACTCCCCTCTGCTGACACAGGCAGTAGGCTAGATGGAGTTGCCATTCCCTGAGATCAGGCGTAGAGGAGAAGAACCGGGGGGGGGGGGGGGCGGTGAGTCTGGTTCTGAACGGGTTGGGTCTGAGATGCCCAAAAGAAGGTGTCCTGGGGATAAGCTCTGTCCTCGGCAACCGAAACTACAATGTGAAGCTTAGAGGAGTCTGGGCTGGGGGTAGAAATCTGGGAGTCATCAGCTTTGTGGGCGGTCACTGAACAACCCACATGGACGAGATTCCAAGGTAAACAGTAGGGAAAAAAGAGAAGAGGGCCCCGGCCTAGCCTGAAGAACCCCAACATTCAATGGGCAGGCAGGAGAGGATGCGCCGGTACAGGCAAGTCAGCCAGGCGGCACACAGGAGGGACGGCGCCATGAAAGGCACGAGAAAAGGAGCACATGGAATGGTCCCGGGAGGTCAAACACTCTGGCAAATTGAAAATGCCCCTTGAACTGAGTCGCATGGAAGTTACTGATGGTTTTGGAAGAATCCACTTCACTGGAGACAGGCTTGGGATTCCGAAGAGAGAGAGGAGTGGACCGGAGGCAGGAACACGGAGATCGGGGCGCAGACACAGCTCTGTGTCTGCCTGTGAAGAGGAGGAAAGGGGGGCTATTGCCAGAGGGAGAGAACTGGGGGACTGAGGAAGAGATTACAGCTGCTTTCGTTTTTTATTGTAACAGAGTTACCGAGGCATAACTAACGTACAATAAGCTGCGGTGTTTAAAGGGTAACGATCTGAAACGTTCTGACATACGACTACACCTGCAAAACCATTATCATAGGCAAGAATATCATTTTCATCCCCCGAATTTCCTTGTTCCTGCCCCTCCTGCTTCCCTCCTCCCCATTTCTGCTACTATCGTTTGCAATTTCTAGAATCTTCTATAAGTGGCGTTTTTACAATGGTATCTTTTTTAAAAGGTACTCCTTCTTGTCTGACTTCTCTCACACAGCATAATTATTTTGAGAGTCATCTATATTGTTGCATGTACCAATAGTTCATGTGTTTTTACTGATGAGTGGTTTATATTGTATGGCAAACCATCATTTATTTATCCATCCACCTGTTGATAAATAGTCCACTTTGGACCCCTAGAGATTCAGCTGCTTTGCACTTGCACGTACAAGCCTGTGCACGGACACGTGCTTCTGTTCCCCACGGTAGGTTACCAGGAGAAGCAGGCTGGGTGTGTGTTGAATTTCAGGAGACCATCACACTTTCCCCAGATGGCTGTACTGCTTCACTTTGCCATCAGCAGTGTGTGAGAATTCCAGTTTCTCCACATCCCTGCCAACGTTTGGAATAAACAGTCTTTTACATTTTTGACATTCTAGTTAACTTCTCCTCTTTTTTCTACCCCTGTCTTCCTTGGGGAGAGGATAATGAGCAAGGAAATGGCCCCCTATCTGAAGGCAGGGGACGGAGGTGAGGAAGACCAGCCACACTCCAGGGCACCAACACAGTCCGACCAACAGGGAAATGCCTTTCTGCGTCTGTGCCCTGGGGACCAGCCCAGTCCCCAGCAGATGGTTATTTCCTATGGATGATTTGATCAAGATATTAGTGTAGTGCCTTCCAGCCGGGTTCCCAGCATGGGACAAGAGTTCTGCAGGGACTTCAGACGTGAAAGGCTCCTCATGGGCCACTGCAGACTAGGAACGTGGGGGAGGAAGGGTAAGGAGATTCCTTCATTGCCCACGGGATCTTGGTCTCCCCCAATCCAGTGCGGTAAGGAAAGACTACAGCTTTCCTCTGTCCCCTGGGAGAAGCAGCAGGGGTCAGGGCAGGGGAGAGGGGAGCTTCTAGACCAAGTGCTCCCTCATTCCAGGGCAGAGAGGACAGCTTGTTCTGCTGAGGAATCACCCTGCTCAGCGCTAAGAGAAGCATGCTCCTTCTATTCACTAGGCCCCGAGTGTCAATGTGTAAGTACAGGGGTTGAGGAAGATTAAATCATGTTGGGGCCTTCAGAATTATGAATGAGTAAATGGTTACAGTAATAGATTTTTAGTCAAAGCTAAGAGCATCTCTAAAGTCAGATATACATTCTAAGAGCACAGGAAGGTCCGTCATGATTCTGAATTTTAGGAACCAAACATTTATACCCCCAACATGAGCATGAAAAAGAATCCAAATTACAATACCTGTAGCTGCTGGGAAGAACACCCCAAAAACAGTGAAAAAAGACTCCCCAGGGCTGTAATCGGGCAGAGTGTTGTTCTGCAGCAGTTCCGGTGAATATCCAATAAAACCATGTTCTGAAATATACACAGGGGAGCAAAATGAGCCAAATGGTAAGATGTACAGCACAGGCTTCCCTAGATTACAGTCCTCTGCTCGGAGGGAGAGAGAAGGAGAAGGTCTGGCAGAACCATCTTCCTTCCCACGTCTAGGCTTGCCTGTGTGTCTGGGCCTGTAGCTACAGGTAGACAAAATCACACGAAGGGGAACAGCAGTTACCTCTGGGAACAGCAGAGGATTTCCATTTTATTGTTTATAGGCTTCAGTATACCTGAAATCTTTCAATGAGCACACATTCGTGTGTTTGCTTTTCATTTAAAAAATTAAGTTACCTTCCTGCTCAGAAACCTTCCCAGGGGTCCCCATTAGCTACAGAATAAAGTCCAAACCCCTGGAGATGAATGTCAAAGCCCTCCACAGCCTGGCAACATCCCAGCGTTTCCTATTGATCCTATGCCTTTTCCTGTCCCCAACAGTCACAGAGATGCCTGTGTCATCCCAGAACACCATGAATACCCATCTCCGTGTCCCCGCCTCCCAGGCCCTTCTCACACATCTCTGAGCATCACTGTTGTGCTCGCCCTTCAAGCCCATCTCAAATGTTGCCCGCTTTGGGCTTTACAGGAACTCCCTCATCGGAATCAATTGCTCCTCCTGAGTGTGACTGGCACCACCACCAGCCACATTAGGTCTTTCCCCAACTAGACTCCTCGGGACAAGAAGTCCAGCCTAATACATCTCTGTCCCCAGAGTCAAGCACTGTGCCTGGGACACCGCAGGTGGGCTGCAAATATGGGTCACCCTGAAAAGACCCTTTCCCTCAGATCTGGCTGCATCCCGCTTCCTTGCTTTCCATTTGACTTGTTCACAGACTACTTTATACAGGGGACACCTCAGATCTGATTTCTTTAAAGAATTTTAAACATTTTGCACATTGACTTGAATGAAAATTTTCAAATGGTTTTAATCCTACAGGTACTTTGCTTCTTTGTCAAAGGAGGTCACTTTGAATAGCATCTACGGAGGTGTCAGGGCGCTGTGGAATTCCGCGCACAGGCGAAGCCTTCTTGGGCGCAGGAACACCCAGGCTGTCCAGCTGTGCTTTTGAAGCGCACCTCTGAGCATGAGCTGGTTTGTTCCTGTTAACTACAGTCCAAGAGAAGCCAATCCTGCCCCCTCCCTGCAATCACGGAGGAGGGGCGCCCTGGGGCGGGGGCAGCGGCCGCTCCTGCCTGTCCTCCTGCCTCGGGACTTGGCTTCGCCCTGCGCATCCACCCGCAAAGGAGCGAGATCGCCAGCGCTCCTGCGGCTTCCAAGATTCATAGCTTCATAGGAAAACTATTTTCAGAAAGAAAGAAAGAAAGAAAGCTCGGTGAAGCACAAGGGACCCTTGGGAGTCCGGTCGGGACTTAAAGTCACCGACTGCTCTCCTTTCTGAGCACGGAGTTTGCCCTGGGTCTTTTAGTCCCAGGAACCGTGCAGCATTGCCGAGTGGCTTGGCATCTTCGCCGCTGGTCTTCCCCTCATTAACAGAAAAGCGGGACTAGCTAAGTTAACTTGAGTGTATCCTCTGGCTGACCCCACAGCTAGCCCTTCTGCCTTGGAACAGAGCTCAGCCCAGCTGGAACACGCAAGGTCTGCGAGCACACGTGAGCGGGGCTGCGCGCTGGGCAGGCCGCGTGGGACGCAGACACTTCGCCCGGCTCCGCGCATCTCCGCCACCCCGAGGGGGCCCTGACGGAGGCAGGTATTTGGTCCCTAGGCCTGAAGGGTTTTGCCCTGGTCAGCCTGAGGGTCAAAGGGATTTCGGGCCCCATAGATGAGTCACTGGGAGGCCTTTCCTCTCCGTTTGTCCCACCAGAGACCCACAGATGAGAGGGTGAGTCACTGGCTCCCGGGGTGGGGGGCGGGGAGGAGGCCTGGGCAGCCCCCCTCTGCAGGGCAGAGGGCACCGCACCCTCCCCATTCACACCACTGACCCTCCGACCCAGCCTGCTCCTCCCAGGTCCAGTGCTGACCGCTCTCCAGGGCATAAGCTTAACTTTGAAAAGAACTTTATGGGCAAAGCTTCTTGGCAATGCTTTATTTATAATAATGTAAAAACCGTGTGAAATGGGTCTAAATGTCTAACTATGGGGGCTGAAGTATTTCAAATGGGTTTTTAGTACCATAGAAAACCATCCATGTTATACATATGTTAAGTAAGAAAACTGGATACCATTTATAGTATAAATACCCAAAAGAGTTTCAATTTATACGCATAAGGAAAGACTAGAAGCAAACATACCGAAATCCTAACCGTGGCTGTCTGCATAATGCAATGAGGGGCAATTTTTAAAAAATTATTGTTATTATTGTTTGTTATTTTTTATGTCTACACAGTTTCCACATTGTCTTTAATGAGTATAATTGACTTATCATCAAAATATAATATCTTTTAGAAAAACAAACAAACATCCTATAATTGAAAGCCTACTTTCTCCAGACAGCTTTTCTATAAACAAATATCTTTTTTTTCCTTTCCATCTATCCTCCCCTGCTTCTCAAAATGTTTCAGTGGTTTATGAGAAAAAGATAAGTAAAACAAGGCAAATAAAATAAAGATCAAAAAAGGAAAGAACAGCCCTGGCTGGTCTGGCTCAGCGGTTGGAGCGTCAGCCTGCGGTACAGAGAGACCCGGCTTCGGCTCCCGCTAAGGGCACGTACCTCGGTTGCAGTTTGTCCCCGGCCCTGGTTGGTCGTGCGGGTGGCAGCCACTCGATGTGTTCCTTCACATCGATGTTTCTCTCTCTCTCTCTCTTCCTCTCTCTCCCTCCCGCTCTATCTGAACAAAAAATGGAAAAATATCCTCGGGTGAGGATTAAAAAAAAACAACAAAAAACGGAAGAACACATGAGCGAGAGAGAGAGGGAGAGAGAGGGAGAGAGAGAGCGCGAGCACGTGCACGCTGGAACACCACGGTCCCAGCCTACCTACATGGAGCACAGCCTGCAGCCTCTGAGCAAGGCTCTGAGTAAGTCCTGCAGCCATGCTTCAAACTAGCATTCAGGGCAGAGAGAGCACAGAATCTTGTCCAAGGTCACACAGCCAGACCTGCCTGTCTCACAGCCACTGTAGCTCCTGCAGGAGGCCAGGCCCAGGCCCTGCCCTCCCTCCCAGAGACACGTGTACAGCACAGGCTTCCTTCAACCCCATGAGACACTCCCCCAGAGACCACTCTCTCTCCAGCTGTGGGGCAGGCGGAGGCCCACCTGTGGAATGCCGCCAGCTGAGGGGTGTGGGTAGCTGGGGCTTGCACAGCTGGGCGGAGGCAGAGCCCAGCCTGGACCCTGGTCTGTCTGAATTCAAAGTTTTCCACCAACCATACCATGTCTCTGTAATTCATCCCAGAGTTGTTTCCCCGGAAATTTCTAAAAATTGCTCCTTTGCCTTTGTAAGCCTTTCAGCTCCTCTTCTATAAAACAGGGGAGTTGGGCTGAGGTCCCCTCGACATCTTCCAAGTCTGAAAGGCCTGGGGTGTCCAATGTGTGCAGCTGCTGTGTGTGAATGTATTGGGTTTGACCTGACCATCTGTTTCTATAGCCATAGAAAAAGTACATTGGTCCCATTTGAGCCATGTGCTTTTAGAAAGAACAAAGAAAACAAATCACAACAAAATCCAGGCGAGGACAGGCAGAGGGAGGGTGCTCGCAGGTCTGTCCGCAGAAAGGCTGGGACCCCAGAAGTCATGTGTCACAGCTTCTTGGAATGCCACTAGTGAACCGTGGTTCTTCGAGTCCACTGTCTGTGCAAAGGGGTGCTCATGGCATCCCATCCACCTTGCCTTGGCCAAAGGCCATCAGCCTTGGTCCCAAGTACTGACAAAGCACAGCTCTCTCCGGGCTGGGCCGGGCCCCAAACCTCTGGTAAGGTGGCTACTAGCACGCTCTATGTGGCACCTGTGCTTCCCCGCACCCCTGCCCCCCTGCCCCCGGGGTCTGCTGAAATTAGAAGAGGCAGTTGGGAAGTCATCAGCCCCACATGTGGATGTCAGATTGCAGCCACTGACTAAATTAGAAATTGAGATTCTAAAAATGACACTGGCACTCCAGCCGCCACCCTGCTGTGAGCCTTGGGCCCCAGGAGGGGAGGAGGGCTTCCGCAATGGCTTTCTTCTTGGCTCCCATCCCCGACCCCTCCACCAGCAAGATAGCCCTTTCCCGGGAAGGGACAATGAGAGAGGCTGGTCCAACCAGGAATAGAAAGAGTGGAGGAAGGGCCCGGGAGAGAGGAAGGCAGGGAGGGGCCCATGACCCAGACCCAAAGGGCAGGCTGGGCCTGGGAGATCACAGGAAGAGCAGCAACTCGGCAAGGAAAAGGAAAGGAGAGGCTGAGGTTCTGGGAAGGGACACACCCCCTCCCCAAACAACACCTGGTGGGGGGATGGGAGGGGCTCTAGGAGGCAAGAGATGGCCACAGAGCAAGCTGAGGATGCCCAAAGGAAGAGGAAGTACAGTAGCTATGCCCTAAGGAAAACACAAAGTGGGTGCCTTTTCCAAGGGTCAAGCTTTGTGCTGTAGACAAAGCTCCTGCTAGGGTCCGACTCCATGGAAGAGCTGGACTAGAACCCAGGATGGTCTGCCCAGTGTCCCTTATACGTTGACCACTCTGGGACCTGGGCTGATGAGACAGAGATCTGCAGCTTGAGGCAGAAGGCAAAGAGTCTGAGACAGCCTGACAAAGAGATTAGTGCATGGGGGAAGCAGGGCGTGTCCGGGGCCCCATCTCATTCATTGGCCCGTTTTTACAACCGAGAAAAATGGAGTTCAGAAACGGAAGTCGGCCACTCAAAGGCCTGGAGAACTGCCAGTGGAACAGTAACCCTGGCTTAGGGTTGAGCTGGAGTCCACACAGTACCACGTCCCAGGCTGGCCTTTCCTTGAACTGGGTCATAATCCTGGTCCATTCTAGGTGCTCCATAAAATGTTTTAAAATTGAACTCAACTGGGCTGTATTGATTTGGACTGTATTGACCAGG